AAACACCATTTCTTAGAGTTTATCATTTTACTAATACCAGCTGAACAACGTTCTGTTCAAACCGAAGCAGTGATTTTGCAGACCTTTTTATTCATGTCAAGGCCGTTCTCATCCCTCTCTCCCCCTTTCTGCTCCTCACTGCTCCTGTGGCTGTGCTGATCAAAGTGCTTGAGGGATGCATGTAGGACAGCACTTTGTTATTTTTAACCTGGACTGGTTTTTGGATGCAGCGCACTGCATGGCCTCACAACAAAGCAGTTGTATTCTCAACTCATAATTGGCAACTATTTTTAGATAAAACTGTACTGGTCACAGCAAGGACAATACTCGGTACGTTTTCTTTCTAATGTACAGATAAGGTGAGTAAGATTACTTTTGTGAGTGGAAAGCAAGGGGGATCAGTGAGTGTAGCTGCAGTTAGTTCATGCTGCCATCTTCTGGCTCCTGCTTTTAGAGAGTTTTTAAAATACAGAAAAAAGTCAAAATAATTAAAGCCTATCATGCAAAATTAGGAAATATGAGATGTTCTCTAAATAGCCAGTGACACAGGTAGAACAATTTTATGTGTTTTCCTGCACAATTGCTGTTCCCTTTGAAATCATAAAATGAATTGCTGTTTTTCTCCTTAGCCTTTCAGGGTAATATGAACCAAAAGCTGGAAGGATACAATGTGTGTTATATGTATCTGCTGTGATACTCTAGATCTTACTGTGGGGGGCAGACGTCACATAATGCGCAATTACAGAGATTTTTGTAGATTTTAGCAAATTCATGCCCAGAACTGGCATTTAACGTGAAAATCTGTCCATAGTATTCATTCATGAAATTGTTGTAGCTGTTATTATTTTATACCATTACGCCGTTATACCATGCAGTTATATTGTAAAATTCATTTATTAAGTTATTATTATACCTGAAGGATTAGTAAAAAGGAGGATGAGAATTCTCGCCAAGGTCTGCTGAAGACTATGTCCAGCCCTGATGTCATAAAAGAAGAAACAACGAGGACGATGAGGGAGGTGGGTTGCTTAACACTTCTCGCTTTCAACAGACAGGAGTTGAACATGACGCCATTGAACAATAGGTTGTTTGTAATAGAGCTTAACACTTTCATGAAATCTTTGGCAGTTCCTGCGTTTCACTTGACTTGTTGACCCCCCCCCCCCCCCCCCCCCAACCGCGGAGCAAGGATTTCTCGTGCTAGTGTCTCAGATTTCTGTGTCTGTGGACAACAAATCTAATTCCCTTAGTCACGACAATCCCAGTGACTGACCTCCTGATAATTCCCTGGCTGCATCTGAATCTTCTTTTAGGGCATAGCCTTTCCTTAACCACCAGCTATTGCAAGTTTGCTAGGCTCATGATTTCATGGCTTTGTTGAAAATCTCTTGCTGTTGTCCAGTTTGGATACCTTTTTTGTCATAGAATTATTAAGGCTGGTATCTTACCCAAGAGCACATCTAAGAATATGTTTGTTGTTTTTTTACTTTTCAAATACCATTGCTTTTTAGAAAATTTTCAGATTTCCCTACCTAGGTTATATTTTTCTTACTTTTCAAATGGCTTTTGGATGTTGCAGAAGCCTGGATCATAAACTAATTAATTTTGCTAGTGTTGTGCAGCTAACCTTCCCACCTTCTAAATTTCTTACCCTGTTTGTGTTAATGCTGCCTGAAGCTATTGTGGTTACATCTCCTTTCAGGCACAGGCTCTAGCCTGCTAGTTTAACGTTTTCAAAAATTTGAGACTGCAAAAATTGTCACCACTTAGCTTTTGCTATTTGTCATTTATAATGTTTAATGTAAACCATGCTTCTCCACAGGCTTGTCTTTACATATTTTCCACTTGGGTCCGTAGGCATATTGTGTGCTTAAGTTTGAAGGCTTTTTGCCTTGGCAGTACCAGTGTCATGCACTGGTCCTTCTGATGCACCTTGAGGACATTATAGACAACAGATAGTTCCTTTTATTTGCCAACGGCTGAAGACAGAGTTTCTGTTGCAAAGCAACAGAACAGAAAAAGATGCTTTTGAATCCTGTTTCCCTCTATTGATTAATATGAATAGTTGTTATTAGCTTTTTTTTTTCTCCTTGTAATTTCTCTACTCCTTTGATAGATGATGTGTTTGGACTCTGCTGCTTGGCTTACATTGCCAAATGGCGCTTTTTTTTTCCCCAGTCAACCAGATTTCTATTTCATTATTACAGTTTGGCTTCTTCCAGGTCACCTAGCTCAGAACCCGACTCTTGAGGAAAAGTGGGCCTTTGATGACAGGCACCCAAAGTGCCTCTACTAGATGAATAGTTGTAATTCTCCCTTTATAACTAGAGGATTAGTTTATTGCTCTCAGCCTTCAGGGCAAGTATTTTTTTGTTTCGTTACAGTCCCTTAATGTAAGAAATACTTGCGATGACTGACAATTCGTCCTTTCAGTAGTCCCGGTAAGCACCACAGGTGAGCGGACCAGCACTTTCCTTGGTCTTTCTCTACTACTATTGTACGTGTGGGAAAATCATGGGAACAGAAAGACTTACTGAAAAGATGTCAGGAAGGCCAATCAATAGAATAGAATTGTTTTTAACTCATTCTAGTCTTTGCTAAAAAGCTCAGGAGGAAAGAAGTGTCCAGGACTGCTGGTGATAACGACAAAGTAGTGAGATCCCTGCTTAGACTAGAAAAAGAATACGTTCAATGGTGTTCTTGGGAAATCAGGTGGTCTCAAGTTGTCTGGAGGTCAGGAATTTTATTAAAGAGCTAGCCAAAGTGATTTCAGAATCATTTGTGATTATTTTTGACAGTTTGTGGCGGATAGGTGAGGTACCTGAGTCCTGTAAAGGTCAGGCAGTACCTCTCTCTAGAAAGACTAAAAAGAGGGTCTAGGTAATTACAGATCAAGTTGTGTTTCATTTACAGATTAAAAAATTGTGAAAGAAAAACAGTCTGGAAGAACGCGAACAAGAAGCAGACCATGTGGATTTGTTGAGGAAAGTCGTGTCAAACCAAACTAATTATCATCCTGTGACAAGGTTTAAAAAAAAGTCTTATTGCTAGGGGAGAAGAGAGTACCTGGCAATATACTAAGTCTTTTTGGCGTAGTCATCCCTAATGTGACTCCAGAAATTTTTAGACCGCTGGATTTAAAACGGTTGGATAACGCTCTCCTGAGACGCGTTTTTTAATGTGGCTGAGTGGGAGGGGGTATTTCCAGGTGCTTGTCCCGGGAACGTTCCTTTCAACCTGGTTCATGAATAGAGAATATAAGTTTGTGTAGTATTCAGTAACAAACTGGTACAAATATGGTAGCTGGGAGGATCTGTAGGCTGCTGGAAGAGTAGAGTTGGAATTCCAACCTTGACAAATAGAGAAATGGTCGTGGAAAAACTAGGATGCTATGCAGTAAGCGTAAATGCATGTTACTTCGCTTCGAAAAAAAACACGGACGCTGACTGAAGACTGGCTCTTGTGCAGCAGACACTGCTGGTGTTGTACCGGGTCACAAGCTAAGCATAAGTCAAAAGAGTCCTGTTGTGAAAATGCAAATGTCATGCTGGAGTGTAAATAGGAATGCAGCCTGCAAAACATGTGTTGCGGTCTCTTCGTTCTGCTCAGTGTGGGATGGTCTCAGCTACAATATTTGATTCTGGGTTTGGAGCTGTGCCCTTGAAGAGAATGTGCACGCTGCTGTCGTTCTCAGATCTGCTTCTGGACTGGGAAAAAATAACACTGCTTGCTAACTCATCACTTGGAGTTGAATGCTTCTCACTGGAACAGAAGGGCTGTTTTCTCCTGTCTGAGATCAGTGAAGGGAGAGACTGATGAGAGAGAGTTGTCTAGGTAAGCAAATTGGGTTCCCCCTTAGATGTCACATGTGGTCCTCTCCTAAAGCTGTATTCCTGGTGCACGTAGATAGAATTGACAGACAGTTTTACATTTGGGCCGGCCTGTTGTCTCATTTAGTTAGATGTTGATGTTTTCCAAGAGGGCTATTTAATATCTTGCTTCAATGAGAGATCCGGTCTTTCCAAGAGGGGTGAATTGTTAAAGTCTCACTGCCTGAACCGATGGAAAACTTAGTTTTGTCCATAAAGATTGCCTTTACAACAGCTGAAAGAGGAAGAGAGACAGATATTCAGGGGTGTGTGTGTGTGTATATATTTTTTACTTAATCTCCTTGCAGACTTGGCTCAGTTTTAACCTTACTCGTAGACCTAACTGATGATCATGTTCCCAATACCAGATTTTTTTTTAAGAGCAGAGGGCTTGTTCACATTGTATCTCTGCTGCAGATTCTGTGTGCTTCCTGATATCCATAGGACTCTTAAAACTTGGAACTTGCACCATCGCTGCTTTTGGAGGCAGGAACGCAGGATCGTCTGCTTCTAGATCAGTCTCAGTCACCCATGCAACAGTGGGGGCTCTGGAACGCCTTGTCTGTCTGTTGTCAGACAAACAGTGTCTTTTCAAAGGCAGATGCGGTAGATGGAAACTCCTGAAATATAACCTTCTCTGTCTGTGTCACTTGGAGCATCTTTAGTCATGCAGAAAGAGACTGCGAGCAGGACATGCACGACTTGGCCAGTAAATATTGCTTTGCACCTCTAACACGCGGTGAGGGCAAGTAGGTTTTATCAAGCTGCTAGGCCAAGCATTAGTATGCTTGCACCCTCCTCTCAATAAGACATCGAAGCAATCTTTCCTGGCCACGTTGGCATTGCCAGGAGGGGAAGGGTTGGTCTTCAGTGCTCCCTGTAACAGGTCTGCTATGGTGCTCAGTTGCTGTCTTCCACCTCCCTGTTTATTTCCTGTAGTAGTTTCAATGTCGATGTTTTTCCCCTTGAATCTTTGAGCTACTAACTTTCCTTGTCACAACAATCCTGTAACTTTTCCGGTCTTATCATGCATGGCTCTATTCTGTGACTTTTTCCACAGCTTAGCAATTTCCTCTGTCAATTTTAGGGAGCTGAGATGCCCTGAAGTTAGGTGTTGCATCCTTGGACACAGCTGAACCCCTTGGAGAGGAGCTGAATGGTTGCAGAGAGGATTGCACCAGCCCCAGGCTTGGAGGTGGTGTCAGTGAAAGCTAAGCAGCTAGCAGTGTCAATGTCAGGCAAGTGATGGGTTAGCCTGGCCGAGGGGGAAGAGAGTAATTTAGAGTCAACCTCGAGAACCACAGCCAGTCCCATCTCACCACTGGTGTTAATTCTGGGGGCTGCGCTGCCTGCCTTTCAAGCCCCTTAGGTGACAGACTTTCCTGGTGACTCATATCTACTCAGAATGGACTTTCTGCTGCCTCACACCGTGGCTCTGGGTTTCGCCAGGCTGCGCTGATAGAAATCTGAAGTAGGGTAGGGATTAATCAGCAAATGTGCTTAGTCAAAGTTGGCATGCAGTTTTCCAAGAACGCAAGCCAGTTCTCGGGGTCAAGTGGCTGGAGCTCGTTTGTGTATCTTAGCCAGTGTCGTCAGAGCATCTAAATGCAACAATCTCAGCACTGGAGTGAAATGACTTGGTTTTGTGGGCCTCTTATTCTTTAACAAATGGTATTCAGGTAATGCCATCTTCCACAGAGGGCAAAAACACGCATATCTCTTCTCCAAGTGCAGCACTCTTTTAAAAAGAGGCTCAGCGGTCTTCCCAGATGTTAACTCAGTAACACAAGGGCTCAGTAAACAGCAACAGATGGCAAGTCCCCTGTTCTTGTGCACCACAAAGCTAGAAGATGACTCCAAAACGCATTTTGCAGAGTTGCTGCTCACAGCAGGTGAATGGGAGCAAGCAGTGAACTACAGCCAGAGGAAATGAGAGAGCAGCAGGAACATCGTTACATCCTTCTCAGACGTGATTAGGAAGGAGTGCTGGAAAACGATGGCTTACCTCTAGGCTCTCTCTGTTGCTGCTTGAGCAAGGGTAAAGGCAGAATTAAGAGTTTTGTTTGGTTTTTGTTTTTTTGTTTTTTTAAGACATTTTCCCCAGAAGCCCTTTACCAAGAGTGTTGTTCCCAGGGGCATTTACTTTAGAAGAGAGAGAGGTTATCTCGAGAGTCCTTCCCCAAAAGAGCTCTCTGTTATGGGATGTTTAAGCAAGAACGACCTTCTCCAGAGACTTTACTTTCCCTCAGTAGATTGATCTGTTTTGCAGAGCTTTTTTGTGTGTGTTTTTCCAAAGACTAATTTCTGATTCCATTTGTTTGAAAACAACGCTTAAGACTGGCTATAGCCTCCGGTCTTTAGTTTTTCTTGTGATGTGGTATTCTCCCTTACTTCCCAGAGCAGACTTTCAACCACACAGAATAGAACCACAGTTATAATGCAAACATTTGTAATTGGTGCCTCGGTTTAACACTGTCTCTGGCTTGGACTCCGCTTAAAGACAGTTAAAGCCCTGGGTCGCTATCCTTTCTGAAAATCATCCCCCCCGCTACTTTCAGACAGAAGCCCAAGAACATCTATCAGTATCTTTCATTCTCAGTATCGGGGACTAGTGGAACCCGAGACCATGGAAGCAGCCACAATTCAGTGCTGTTTCTCTTGGTTACACTGAGGGGGCAAATTTGCTGTTTCTGTTACTTGGTAGTACAGTTTAGCTAGGTAAAAGGCTTCACCAGAGTTCCAGGGTCACAAATTCAAAGCCAGACAAATACCAGTGTCGTCATGTGTCCTACCAGCACCACCGTTGCCATGTGATGGTATCTAGAGCTGAAAGACCTCTTAGAGTGCAGGGCATCTGAAAAATGTCTGAATGACTAGCTTGGCGGTTTGTATTTCTGATGCTGTGTGTTGCTGGATTCATGACCCAATTTAAGCAGAGCAGGATGTGCATGTGAGGGAAAGGGGAGAGAGAACTGTATAGGTGTGCTATGTGTACAGGTGGGCTGTCGGTGACGCTGTCTGCCCGCCCCTGCAGGGACCGAGGTTTCTGAGGTGAGGTCCAAGCCGTCAGACTTCACAGCCAAGGAACTGCTAATGGCGGTAATGGTGCTGCCTAGGTTGCCTGCTTTGAAAGATGACTTGGGTTTTGTTTATGCGCAAGCGAGTCATGTTTTGCGAGCGCACCGTCCACCACGGGGGATGTCTCTGTGAGCAAAGGCCCGGAACTAATGCCATCCTGCATGGCTGTGAATGAATTCGTCCTTTATTCCGCACTCTGTACCCCTGTTGAGCTGAGAGCTCTGCGCTGCTCACAGATGTGAAGATAGATGCTGCCATTTGCAGCACTCGTTCGGTCAGGCTTCCACACCCTGGTGCCTCTAATCCTGGACAAAACACAGGCCGTGGAGAGCCAAACACAACGAGGTCTCTATTCTTAGCCCGGAGGGCCTCAGAGCCAGTTTTCTGGGGCGCAGGCCGATGAATATGCAGTTACTGGAGCTCTTAACAAAGCAGAGTGAATAGCAGTGTTTGTCGTTGGCCCTGAACGTATACTCCTCCCTCGTTGGATCTGTAGCCTTCACTGCA